CGAAACGCAAAAGGCGATATTATTTTGCATTACGGTTTTTAGATGGAAAGAAAAAAATACATTTATACAAAAAAAATGAATGAAAATAATACACAAAGTCAAAGAATTATACATATATATTATATGTATATATTATAGAAGATACATTGGCTACAGAGCCAGAGCCATACACATGTATATTATTGTAACATACGTACGTATCTACATACCTGCGCAGGCAAAGTAGGAATTTCGGTACCATCCTACTCAGTTGAAAAGTCAAATATCAAAGGCGACAAATAAAACAATTCATCCACAATAGCTATTAGTCCAATTAATCTTTTATTTACCAATATTTCATTTACACACTAACGAACATTTTACACACATTAGGTACATCAGTGCACACCCTGAACATAATTATCGATGTATCCAATTGAGCGTTTGAGATTCAACGCAGAATACTGTTACCGGGTAATGTTAAAAATTATACCTAGATGACAGGAAGTTATACATACTTATCGGCGGAAATATCTAAGTGACCATTGTGTTTTCTACGAAAGCTAGACTGCGCTGATTCACGAAGTACGTCTAGCGTCTGAATCTTATTATCAGTATAAAACGAGGTCACTGATATAGACTCGGCCTCGTATATCGTCATTTTAAATGATACATCTATATTTATTTTTAGTACTATATATATGTAGAAAAGCTGTATTAAAAATACATAAAATATTTTTAACTCATCTTAAGATCATCCATGTACTTACGAAACTATTGTAAGGGCTCTTTGTTTAAATGAATTAGAGTACCTAATCAATATTTATATTCACAATGCACACCGTGATACAAGATGGACTTAAAATCAAAAGAAACCACATAACATTAAATTGTATGTCTCTTCATAAAGGTCGCTGTACATATTGGGCCAAGGTCCTTCTTTTTTTACATGTGAAAACCCCCTCGGTTCCCACCAAGGGATTTGAGACGAGGTGAGGTGTCGGAAACGGAACCACACGGTGCGCCACTCTGCGCTTGAAATAGGAGGGATCTGGGAACTGCTGTCATTAAGACGGGACGCGCGGGCACCACCTTCGGGTGTCGTGTTCTCGCGGCTGCCCACTATAGCGGAATAAGGTGAAAAATCGTTCCCGTCCACGTGCAGCCACACTCCTGGCGCCACGAGGCTGGTAAGCGCGCCTCTGCCGTTGGGTCAAAGTCCTAGGCCAGCATATTGGGTCGACGTTTAGAGATTTTTTGGCGGCATGTTGGTAGTTGGCGATGACACTGGCCGGTCAACGTATAGTTACGGTTTTTCGTGCATACATCTTGGCGTGCACCAAAGGATCTTGGCGCGCTCCAAAAATGGTATTCACACATTAGTACACATTTAGGTAATAAATAAACGCTCTATATGCCAATGTGTAAATAAAATGCGATATTTTGACCCAACATGCGGGCCCAGCATCTTAGCCCAATGTGTACAGCCTTAAGATGGATGCTGATCCAAAGATTCAAATACACGAAGTGCTATTTTACTTCACTGAATGCATTTTCATAATTACATCTCCAAGGCTAACTGTGCTGATAGCGCCATCTATATTTGAAATTACGTTATGTTTTGGTCGAGAAAAAAACTAGCGACATCTAGCTTGTAATATTATCCAATCTTGTCCCCAGAATTCAGACAAACAGTGTTAAAATATTCCGAACCCCCATCATCACATCTTTTGTGTCATAAACAATTCAACTGAATTAAATGAAAAAGAATAGACGAAATAAATAAAACTCTTTTATAGATCCACCTTAATATTAAGTATGTATTTACCGAACACTGAACGACTTTAGCATTAATGTCAACACTTATTACAATATTTTTTACTGTTTAATAGATTTTTTTAATCATCAGAACAAACTAACCAACATGAGTGTTTTATAACTACATCTAATATTACCCGCTACGATTTTAGTGTACAGATTCAATGTTTACAGTTACGCAACTAAGTTTTATTTTATTCTACCATTCATGTGTTTAAAGGGCCTTTATGTGTATATGTTTAATGAACGATAATAAAATAAAATGATTTTTTTTAAGATTCTCTATGTATACTGAACTGGTTCGAATAAGAAACAACAACAAAAATTTAGCCACTTTTACATTGTGTATATCAAAGTAAATATTTCGGTGCCCTTAAGACATACGATTGATTTTAACTTACATACAAATTCAGATTTATTTTTCACTTATAAGAAAGGGTTGCCATTATAAACAATGGATTTATACCATCAACATTGTATTAAATGTGTACTTATCTCGTTTAAGTGAAAATAATATCTGAATCTGATATTATTGCTAAGAATTCTTTACAAATAATAGTGCAAGCTATGGAAGTGAATACAACTACAGGCTTGCTGAAGCCCATTACATCAAATTCAGGCGTTTACACTTTGCTCAATATTATTCATACAATTTAGATATTAAAATCATGATTGCAAACATTCTCCTAAATATATTTTGACATACAAGTTACATAAATAGTGAGATTAAATACAGTGACTGCACATATGCATATAGCATCAGTATGATAAACTCGCCAATATACATATTCAACAAATACATTCCTCCAAACTGCGTGTACTACACTTACACATTTGTTACAAATTATTAAACACCAAACTATCAGCAAGCCAACCCACACGATAAATTATTAAGAGACACATTTTAAATATACACCCCGGGGTTGCTGTTTTGTACTGAGATTTAGACCTTGTAAGCACTCTTATAGAGTTCGAACCACAACAAGAGTATGCCATAAGATTAATTTATAAAAAAAAATTGAAGTGTTATGAAAAATGTGTCTTCAGATATTTCGATATTCATTTAGATCATATTTCTATGAGAAAGCATTGTAGAACAATACTTATATATTAAAAAAATATTATGATCTTTAATAAAGCCGTTATTATAATAAGAACTATGTATGTACCTATAGTAATACTGACTGTATGACATAGCATAATATGTTACACTTTGTAAGTATTAGGAGATTCTATTCTATGCTTAAGTTATATTATAGTAACTACAGAAAGTGCGATAGTTGATATAGTGATTGTATATTATTGCAGTTTCAGTATCTTTTATACGGATACATTTTTCTGGAGTCTCTATCATGGTCGCTAAATTAGATGAAGTAAGAAGATGATATATATAAATATATATCAAATTCAATTGTTTTATTTATATGTATAAAAATACAATGTAATATTTACGAACTTTGTTGTTTTTGGGCTCTGTATTGTTAGTACGAAACTATACAAGCTATCCCACTACTACAGAAACTCCAATAACTACAGAATTCGCGTCTAATCCACTCTTACCAAGCTTATAGAATGCAATAGTAACAATGCTGCACATCGACTAATAATATCAGTGACAACAATTTTATGAAATTAAATACGATATGCTGTTTACGAGTACATTTAACTAATATTTTTCTAAATATTTTATTAATAAGATAAATTTTTTAAAAGATTTCCAAGCTTAGTTACATTAATTACAACGAACCTTGAAAAACGCTTTTTTTTTGTAAAAGTGATCAATTTTTTCGTCATGCTCTTCAAAATGATTTTTTTTATGGTAATGGTAACATTTAATTGTGGCTTATGGGGCGTTTACAAGCCGTTGGCAAGCCTCCACAAGTGTCCACAAACACAAGCGTGTAAACTCGGTGTTTGGCTTGGCTTCCGTGAGCTTGTTGTCGATCGGGGCTAGTGTCGGTTTTTGAACACAGATCAAAGGAAGCTTGCGGCAAGCGTTTGCTACGTATTTACATGTTGGCGTTGGCGTGCTTGTTCCTCACTGCTCAGTTGTCTTATACTTTAAATAAAAATATGTCCACGTCTGCTTTTGGCTGTCCAGAACACACTAACACACCAGATGTCAAGCGCGTAATGGCGTTTGTAAAAGGTTTGGAACGCTTGGAGCTTGTAGACATTTGCCAAGCCTCGCCAAGCGTGTAAATTATTGATTACACATTTAATAATTTTTTCACAAGATCATCATATGGGTAAAATATCGTGACTTAATTAACGAATCATTAGATTATATTAAGTGAGGTAAAAGATGAATGGCACGATATGCGTGAAAAAAATACAAGGAAGAAATGTTGTTCCTGTCATGGTGAAAATTTTGAGTTTTTATTCCACTGATTCGCTTAAGATAGTAGACAATTTTAATTGTCTTTAGACAGAGAACGCCATCAAATCATCACATCATTAGCATATAATAATTAAGTTTATTTATTTTTATGTCAATAAGTACACCACCGAGTGGCACTATTTGCATCAGATGTTAAGAAATATTTTTTTCGCTATTTTCTGTCAAATTTTATGGTAGTAGGTTAAATAATGGAGCAAAAAAGTTAAATAATGGAGATATAGGTGGCAGAACTATCAATTCTATTTCATAGTGTTTTCATACAGATCATATTAGGTATATATTATATTGTTATTTACACACAAAATACTGATATTATATTATATTAAACATTGATTCAATATTGTCAAGATAAATACCTAAAGCAGGTACTGTGAAGCGATACACCGATTTACATACATTTTTATTGAAAATAATATATTTAAAATGTACATGAACTTGGGTATGGAGTTTTTTTTATTACACTAAATAAATAAATAGAAAAATAAGCTTCAATCTAAGATAACTATGGACATGATTACATATCACGATTATGCGACAATTTTCATACATTATTAGTATGTACAGAATAGTTTGTCTTTTTTTCACACCGATTCGTAATTTAATCCAAGAGTGGACAATCGACTTAACACATAATTAGCCGACTGAAGAAATGGCTCCGCTTAGGAGTAAGTACAGTGTTTTGCTTAAATGGAGTATATATTTTTGTAGTTTTGCAGTAATAATAATTACTTACATCCAGTGGTGAGGCGACATCGCAAATAAAATTTGATTTAAACTATTCAACCCGAGGCCGTCAGCCAACTTAGTAAGTCGGAGCCGTGTAGTCGATGTTGCCTGGAAAAGAAATTCGTTGAGTTCAAAAGTCTTTTTTTTTATAAAACCTATTATTTATTTATAACATGAAAGATCAGCGATAAGCCGGTAGCGCTATGTTAAGGTTTTAGAACCCGAAAGCACTTTACTGCCGCCGCTTGATGTTTCCATGACAATACTGACCAGTAGCGTGTTGCGAGAAGGGAGGCTCGCTGTAGGCGGGCTGCGGGTCGGGAGCCGCGGGATAGGCGGGGAAGGCGCCCGGGCTGCCCACAGCGCCCTCTACCTCATACGCCGGGGCAAAGGCTGCGTCTGCACCAACACGGTAACGCTGGAACGCGAAGAATGCGCACGCCACCTGGAAAACACAAAAGTTTTCAACAACTAATAGTATATAAGTGGTAGAATAATAATATTAGGAATTAGTTCTATAATTTACCATAAAGGTATTTTCCAAGCAAAAATAATAATTTATTTATTTATTTATTTACTTATTTATTTATTATCCACACTTTTGATTTATAGTGGACAGGCTGTGATCGAAAATAGTAGATGGAAAGGAGTTTGCAGTGTGAAGTAGCCGTTCATAGGGCCGCGCCGCTAGATGTTGAAGCGTCCGCGTGCAATGTCGAAGTCACCTTTTTTTTCCGTGCGGAAATCGTCCTTCGGCCAACTGATTGTCCATGGTGTTGGTGCTTATTGACTTTATTTCTGATCAAGTTCTTTTCATCCTTATTTCAATGAGTATAGAAACATATTATTTTATTTCGATACAATTATACCGCGTCACATCGTGGCATGCCATGAGGATCCTTCTACGGATTATCATCCACCCCTGTCCACGAGCAATATAGGTCACAGGATTATGACCCCCCTCACCCTCCAAAGTACCAAGGGCGGGAACTTTTGGACCCTGTAACCTCATCAACAATACAATTGCTTAACACTGGTATTCTATGAGGCCGCGGCATCATTTGTGCTGTGCTGCATGGCTCTCTGAGGGAAGAATGTTTTTTCCCACACGTGTGGTCACGGTTTCCCATCCCTGCCTCTAAAGGTGCTCCGGAGCGCGTCGCGTCTCCACCTGTCCCTCTCAGGCCTGCACTAATGGAGCGACCAGCATTTAGCGACCTCCAGCGCTTAAGTCGTCTGCGGTACCTGGTCTGTTCCCGGGCGTGGCGGGCCAGAAGAGGGTTCTAAGCCCCTTCCGGTCTCACTTCGGCCTCTCCTTCGCTAGGTTGACTTGCTCGCAGTGCTTCGCTTGCGTGTCCACGCTTGGGCCCCAGGCATTGGCTCTTTAAGGATCAGAGACAGGTGATCTCTTAAGCATCCTTTGCGTCAGCCGGCATTAGAAAGTCTCGTGTTTTCTCTAGAGCCAATCCTCCATAACGAGTCTTACCGCGGCCAAAACGGCGTGCCAGGATAAAACTATAACTATATATAACGCCCAGTATGGGATATTTGGAAATATTGTGTGTGATTCAAATTGTACATAATTACGTTTAAAAATGTAATCTGAAGCTTTTATGTACTCTTATGTCATAATAAAAGTATGTCAGGCACCGTTTTGCTCCGTTGTCATACATGAAAATTATGAGAATGTTTCGTTTTCTGTTCGATTTCTGTTTTTTGCCGCCCCCTCGAAAATGCTACCCGTGTGCCAAACCCTTCTTTCTAAGCCCTATGTCCAGCAGTGGACTATTAAAGGCTGATGTGATGTGTGATGTGCGGTGTACGCTATGCACACCCGTACCTGGCGGCCCTGGGTGTCCATTTCGTCTGGTAGCCATCATCAGAGGCGTAATTTTTAAGATTGTGGATCCCCGGGAAGACAATATAATTACTGCTAACTAAAATACGAAAAAAAAACCAACAATGGTTATAAATCAACAGCTTTTTAAATGGAATTAAAATAGGAATGGAAATGGATTTACCAAAACACACTTGTTTATTTATAGGTAATACATATTTTGAATACCCTTTCTATTGCATCATCATAAGAACGACACAGACCATACAATTTATAAAATTACTTACCCAAGCAAATATCGAGAAGAAGCAGAAAGCGATTGCGCCCTGCATGTTGTTGGCTGTGCCCCTGGGTGGAGCTTCAGTCTTGCCCCACGCGTTGGACAAGTAACAGAAACCCACGAAGTACAGGAACGCCCAGGACACTGCAAGCATTGGCATTACTGGCTTAGAACAATTCTGAGTAGCTATACTCATTTCAGCGTAGAGAAAATTATGCTGTAATTTTTAACAATACATCAAAATACGATGTTTGTACATTTTAGTTTTTAATAAAAATAACGTGAAATGAAACAAGACTGTGGGTTATCGGGTTTCATAATTATTAACTCTCACTCAGCATAAAGTGCAAAATGTAGGCACCACAGATTAGTTTTCAAAGTCAACGCTAGACTTATTATATTCATAACCTTAAATGTATGTATAGCTTATAACATATATGTGTATATAGACCATAATTATGTTATATAAGTTACAGTAGGTATTTATAAAATGCCAAACAGTTGTAACGGCGTGATAAAACTTATGAAAGTACTTGGCGAATTAAATATTTTAACCCTACTAGGCAGTATCTAACTTGACATGTTTTGCAATAATATAACAAAGTATATTCCAAATCCCATTTTGCACCCTTAGGGTTGGAAGTTTTCAAAATCCTTGCTTAGTGCACACCTACGTCACCTAAGGAACATTTGTGCAAAATTTCATGCTTCTAGACCCAGCGGTTTGCTGACGTGCATTGATCGAATCAGTCAGTCAGTTTTACCTTATACCTTGTCTTTAATCGGTCCCTGACAATTATCAGATTTATTAAAAATTATATATTGCCCGTGGCCCGTGTCGGGTAAAAGTCGTAGACAGAACCAGTTTCAAGAGAAGCAGTAGGTACTTTCTTTCTTATAAGTGATACCTAATGTTTTTTGTACTTGACAATGACATAAGATCGTGATGATGATATGACGAGACCAGTGCCGCTCTACTAAAGGTCTACTTACGTACTAAATAACTACTTTTTTTAAAATCTTTTTATATTTAGGGGCTTGTAGTCACACATAAGGCCATGTCAGCCCCATTGTACCCTAAACTTACAGTGTACTTATCTCTAAATATAACTTAAGTAGAAAGAATATACTAAAGCTAACAGCGCCGCTTCTGACCGAGGCTTTAAGACTATACTTTGAAACATACCAACATCTGTTAAATGAATTTAACCAGAGCCTCTCTATCCTAGTTTTGACACATTGTAAGAAATACTTAACACCGTTTTTTTTTTAACTTTATGCACTTTTCTACCTCGGCGGACTTAATGCCCAGGGCAGGGCATTCTCTTCCAGTCAAACTATTTTCTGTGAGGCTGTAGTATGACTCCCGTCGAGACGGCCCATATTTACTGACCGACATGTGTAACCGGCTGGCTCTCCAGTTAGTGATTATTAGATACCAGCTTTTGCCCGCGGCTCCGCCCGTGTGGATATCAGTTATCGCAGTAAAAGCCTATGTCTTTCCTCAAGAATCAGACTATCTACCAAATTTCAAATTGCCAAATTTCATCAAAATCGGTTCAGTGGTTATTGATTTCCCATACAAACTTCCACTCCCCTTTTAGACCTTTTAAATGTTTTTTTCTCTAAACTATATCCTTTCCCGGTACTTAAAATATCGCTATACCAAATTTCATCTAAATCGGTTTAGCGGTTTAAGCGTGAAGAGGTAACAGACAGACCGACACATCTTCGCATTTATAACATCAGTATGGATTGACGTATTAGTATATTTTTTACCCACACGTCAGTAAGACAATGAAAGTAACTGTCTTTGTAAACTAAAGGCCCAAGTCATAAAATGCGATTCAGTTTTTATAAGATAAGCTACAAATTAGGGTTGATTTTATGATCTATAAAAGTTGCCGCCCACGGGGAAGTATTGTTGAGGTTGAAAACGAAGTGTTGTAATAATTCTGTTGTCATACCATAATAAAGATTATTTGAGGACACATTGTAACATATAAACATATAGGTACATATTTATATGTATTCTCATACATAACTTCTCATAAAGGACTCATAAACGTGACGTCAAAGTCAGACATGTGACAAAAAAGTTATTCGCTGTAATAAAGATATTTACCTTTTAAAACTACATTTAGTTAGATATTCTAGTAAGTGCTATTTCACATAATTATACCTTAGAATGGAATGATAATGCTATATGTCCTGTTGAAATGAAATTTAACTCCAAACTCCGAAACACTAAAATAAATATGGGATAGGATATAAAATTGTTTTTGCTTTATAATGGTTGTTTAATAGTTTTTAAACGATATAACTATTATTTATACTTATAATATATCGCAGTCCCCGACGAACAAAATCGTAATAGGAAAATAACAATTTTACAGGAGCAAATAAAAACTGAATATCTTGAATACTATCAAGACTAAAAAGAAGATTCTTTTATCAAAAATAAGGAAATATTTTTTTGCACTAGATTTTTACTAAATTTTTATCATAAATTTTCTTTATTAGTAAGAAAATTGTGAAAATGTCCATTACTGAAATAAGCTATGGAAAAAATTAACGCAAACTAACTTTACGATAGTGTTCGACTGTAATCACAAATCGGTGTTGCTGTAGTAATCGTTCATTATGATATTGTTCCTTGGTAAATATGAATATACTTTATATTCGTAAAATGACATTGCAATCGTATTCGATGATATCACTGACTTTAATATTACGGTAAACATAAATTACATGCTTATTCGATGATCATTTTTAGGTGTTATAACCATTTCGGTACCTATGTATAAATTCTGATTCTGATTCTGTCATTTTTCCCTCGAACAATATGGTAATAGCCGCTTACTCTAAAATGTTGACTTTTGAGATTTGGTAATAGGTTTTTGCGTTATTGATCGTGTAAATTTTTCAATTATGTTATACGTTGAACAAAAACATAAAGATCATTATTAAATGGATAAATCCAAAAGTATTCATCGCCCGATCATAAAAAAAATTCAATGATTGTAATAGGGTGTGTAGATAACGAATATCTAATAAACCCGATTCTATCGTAATAGCGATTACCATAGTGTTCGTCGGGGACTGCGATATTAACTACTATATAACTATTACAGGTATACATGCTAAAGTAAAAATCCGAGAAAGATTAATTAAAAGAACATTATTAAAGCACTGATCTATTTTGTTTAGCTCAATGTTATTAAGTCTAAAAAATCGTTAAATAGAATTCAACTGGGATGTTAAATGTAGGAAACTCTTTCAAATGCATAATTTTATACATTATAATTATACTGTATAATGCAGTTTAAGTTCCGATGTAATGTTAATGTCAATTAATCTGTATAGAACGGGTAATTCTAAATATCTAAGTAGGTATTCTAACTATTTGCATAACCTTTCGAGTAGTGACAATATGCAGCTATGATTGCCTTGTTACTTTAATAAAAAAACAATATTATACACAATTCTATGGGTGATTTGTATGAAAGACAAATCACCCATAGAATTGATAGATTATTATGATTATTATGTACAACGGATTACTATTTAAATGACAGTATCAATTATTCTTTGGCAATTGCGGAATGTAGATACAAGTGCTGTAAAACAGACAGCTAAACTTGAGTACAAGTATGATTCATAGGTGTAAATAACCTTCAATTAATACACATAGCTTCGTTCATGATAGAAATAGACTCATAATAGAAGCTAAAGTCAACAGAAGTGCTTGTATAATGCAATTGAGAGCTATAATCTAGGTCACAAATATATCTGAAAATTTCGGAAACTAAAAATGCCAACTTCGTGAAATAATTGGTATTTGATACACAATTAAATACTTCTGAAATACGAGTAAGAGTAATAAACCTTCTTGGTTGTTGTCAAGTTAAGCCATTAAAAGTGAGAAAAAAATGGGACTTTTATAAATGCAGCTGCTAAATTACTGCATCTCCGACATTTAAACAGCGTCTATACATATGTATAGCCACACTAGCTTTTACCGTTGCGTAGTTTGAAAGATCTAAACGTACAAGAAAAAAGCGACTTCATTTTATACTATGTAAAGAAGATAAAAATGCGAAAGTTTATATCTTTGTTACTCAATCATGCTAAAAGGGCTGGACGGATCTTGTTAAAATGTGGTACAGAGATATAGGTATTTTAGTCTGGAATAACACATTGGCTACTTTTTAGAAAAAAAACGATATGAACGGAACCGCACCCAAAAACTAAAGCTTTTTAGAATTGCTTGAACTATAGGCACAAGTTAATAGATCGATCTTAGTGACACACTTTATCATATTTGTAAATCTGCAGCTATTTGCCAGGCCAATTAATTCGACCTCAGATTCAATTACTCTCTTGTGTTTCTCCGTTTATAAGAGCGGTGATGCACATATACATTCGAAAACTTTTACCAGACAAAAAAGTCTTGTTATTAGTATTATTTAAATCTTGCATTGAGCAACTGGGTATCTAAAATTGTTACAGATATTTTTTACCATAGCCGGCATATCCATTCAGGCGGGGTCACGCTATGTTGGCCTGGTATAAATGAGATAAAAACGAATAGATTTGAACCTGTGAGAACTTTTTTTTTAAGTACATACTTTTCACAAAGAATTAAAGTACAGTTGGACTTCCGAGTTTAATAAAACTCCGATAATTTGTTATGTGTGGAGGTCGGATCCCAACCAATCGCGTGAAGCCTCATAAGATAAGCTATATTTCTAAGTTGTTCACCAAGCTAAATAAGTACTCACGGTAATGTGATTCATCAATAATTTTACGCCAATAGTTTTTTGAAGTTGGCATTCCAACATTGGCAAACAAACAAATAAACTATTGAATAATTAGCCGTATACAAAGCCGAAAAATTTACCGCAAGCCAAGAAACCCGAAAATCGGTTTGCATGCTTGCTTGTAGCATGTAGTTGGCATGCAAAAACCGTAAAATCGGTTAGGATCGTCCTAGACATTTTTAAATTTCAAAATTTATCGCTACTTAACCGCTGACGATACAGTCTCATATGTAGGGCTTTAATTTTTGATCACATAACCCATCTTTTTATCCGTGCGATACAACATACGCTCTAAAATCAAACGGAATCGTTTTTGGTTACCTATAAATATACCTAAAATTCACTTTATCGATCGAACTAATTAACCGTATAAGACAAAAATTAACCGCAAGCAAAAACAAAGCAAAATCCTTAAATTCGGTTAGGATAGTCCTAGACAATTCTACCCGGGCTTATAAGGTTTTTGCAAGCCAATTTCACTCAAATCTAGCATGTAAACCGATTTTCGTGTTTCTTTGCTTGCGGTTAATTTTTGTCTTGCACGGTTAATTTATAGCCAATTATCCAATAGTTTATTTATTTTTCTGCCAAATTTTCCATGCCAACTTCAAAGAGTATTTACTTAATTATAAGTTTAAAAAAAATTGTACATTTTAAATAAATATCGATCATAGACAAATAAAAAATTCCATAAACTGTGATCCGACTTTCACAATCCTATTTTCTTTTGGATTCTTTCTTACCTAGAGTAGCGTTAGAAAAACGGTAACTGCAAACTTTGTAGAGCATGCAGGGAAGAAGTGAAAATAGCGACTCATGTATTGATGGACAGTCAGAGGGTTACAGCATAACAGGCCAAGTTCCTCGGCTTGTCAGGATCACTCTGTGAGATCTTTGGTAATGTAAAGGGTTGCGGAGAGTTAGGATGGCTCGAATAACTTAAACAGCCAATGTAAATCAAACCACACCACAATTTAATACAGTAACGGAAAAAAGCTTTAATAAATACAACTGATATGGCGAACAAAAACTTTTGTAAGACTAGGTTATATTATGTACTTACCAGAGAAGCCCAAATCGGCTAGAACGTAATGTTTTCTAGTCTTGACCGATGACATTTGCTCGAACAGATACTCCCCGGCGATGAAGGCGATAGAAGCAATGAAGGCAATCACAGAGATACCGATTCCATAGTTGCAGGCGTTGGTGTCGTCGTTGTAAACGCAGCGGTCCTTCCCACTGGAGTCAACGTACCAACCCTTGGCCGATATACAGCCCATCACTATCACGCAGAATAGCTGAGAAGAAGAGGCAGGGAATGTTAACTCTCTGTAAAGTTCCACGTCTTTCTAGCACTAGTTCAACCTAATTGTCCATCTGATATGAACTTGTGTTATCTCCTGTCAGGACGAGTGCTATACTAGGCCTTTGGGATACTAAGATATTTTGGTAAAATAACAAGGATTTTAATTCCCCACACTTAAGCGTTTATGTCTTGTTACAAATGCAGTTTGAAGAAAAATTCCTAATGCTTGAAAGCCAAAGTATCGTCACGAGACTGACCCCTATCAATTGCAGTAGTCAGGTTATATTAAATTAAGTTATATAACATCGTACTACCGTCCCATCACAATCAAACATTATATACATATTCTATCCATTTGAGTCAAGTGTTTTTGTGTGAAGAAATAATTTGCTTTTGCGGCAATCAAACCCATGGCAAACATGAAGCTACGGTAGGTAGTCAAAGTTGGCAATAATGATAAAGTTAAGATTAAGTCGGCGCATCAGGTCAAGACAAAGTGTAAAATATTTCATTTTATTTTACTTCTTTTATCTGAGGGGTTTTTACGATAACAATAATACTTTTCCGTGACCGGTTACACTGATCCTATTACTTGAAATTCAAACAGAAGTGTATTTATGTTCAATGATATTAAATTTCGAACGGATTTTTTCATTTTTTTTAGAGTTCTTGGCTAGCTGCTATGAAGATCCCTTCTTCACCTTTAATGAAATAACTTCTCATGTATTCGGAAAGAAACAGAGAGACCAGTAGCGTGTATCATTTTAACGATCTTTAGACTAAGAGCACTAGAGATAAAAATCTTAGAGACACTGCTAGATTCGAATGAAAACCTTTTAGAACGCCAAACACTGGTCTTCCAAACCATATAGGCCATGAACGGAGGACGGTCCACTATATTTGGGTAATGTATTTTTTCTGAACTAAAATTCTTAAATACTAATATTCTTAATATGATTTCTTTAACGACTAATTAATTTGTAACACTCGATTCACGAGACGATGAAAAACCAAACAGCAACTTGTGATGTAATATTTAAGAGTTAATATATCTAGATTTCAATATGATCACATGCTAGGTCAGGGCTGTAACCAATACTTGTAGGTACACATATTTTACTAGGTCATGGACTCTGAGTTATCTAACAAACTCATGTATGACGTACTTGTAAACTGAATGCGACTAAATAGGTTTATTGATATTTTCTGAGGTGAACTGAAAGGATAATCTAACTGAAGCTATCAGTCAACATGACCCAGTTCGGTAGTCTTTTATTTTTTAATTATAAAATTTATAACAGAGTCCTTTATGGCCATCAATTCACACTATAATTTAAATTACTAAAGCAAATAGTATAGAAACGTTTATTTTATTTTATCTGAATTTAACCGCATACTGTTTTCACAGAAAGACACGCGTTATAAACGTTTTTGGAATTTTCAAAAATAGAACGCGTGTTATCGATGAGTGTGGGCGTAATAAAAACTTTTGTTTGAAATAGAATATTTTTTTTGTTTTAATTTAAAATAGATTTCATGTAAGCAATTCAATTTATTTTAATGTTGAAATGCAAATTAACTAATAACGTTACGATAGTATTAGTACTAAAATGTATTCACGATATTTTGAAATAGTTTTGTACAACGCCCTGTAAAATAAACAGCACTCAAGTTCTGCGTATTAATTTTGTTTTATATAAATTGCATTAAAATTATCTTACCCAACAGACCGCCCTGACGATTACGGGAGGTCTTTGGATGAACGCTTGAGGGTCAAACGCGCCCCCTGCCTTGCCGCCACCATACGCACCACCCGCATCCATTTTAACACTTTAGTAATTATATTTTTGCTATTTGAAGCACTATAGTTAACCAACTGTCCATCAATGGCTCGGGAAGATACAACCTCCTTTACTCCGAATATCTAAATCGTCGTGTTATCGATCGCGCAGCCGAAATACACAGATGACAACAGGAAAATGTGACATTTCTACGTTCTCTATGCCGCGCTTCACGAGCTATTCTACATTGATCTTTTGAGACGCGCTCTTATTGGTCGTTACGTTGCGACGCAATTTGAGCTCCCAATGAGCGCTGAAACATTTTCATTTTCAGGAAAATGGATTATTGACATAAGAAAACCATTTGTAATAAAGCTTAAATACCAAATATTTTTAACAGTATTATTTTCACAATTGTTTTAATATAAAAATTTTAGTTTGAGTGTTTAATGTACTTAGAAGATTGTGAAAGATTTTAACATGATGTTATTACGTAAAAGATGGCGCGTAACGCAGTTGTAGTGAATAACTTCCGCGTTTTCCGGAAAGCGCGCGGAAATGAATTTTAAATGTATAATATTGATGAATGAATAGTAATGAATGATTAGTATGGAGCAACTTATGTGGAAGGCGAGAATTGTATCGATTAAGTATCGACAAAGATATAATCATTATAATAAGTACAGGCTTGGCCGTTTTCTTATTACAAGAACTATGCCTTACTATTATTACTGCCTCGGTGGTTAGCGTATGCGACTGCTGTGCTGAGGTCTCGGGTTCGTTTCTCAGGTCGGACCAAATGTTTGTGTGATCTACAAACAATGGGTGTTTACTTATGAAGTTGGCGATTTTTATAACCAGTATTTTGAGATTTAATTATCGGTGTGCAATTCGAAATTTTAATAAGTTTTATTCGAAAGCCATGTTATTTTAATTAAAAATTCATTCAAATTCATTTGTTTTAGATGGTGGTTTGTTTTTGTAGAATTGTGGTAGTTTTTAGCGACAAGGATAAACTGAAAATTTGTACTAATTTGGAAAATGTGTTCCTATGTGCGCAAACAACGGGCTTAACACTGCTTGCATAAAGACATTCCATTATTTGTTCAATTGTTTTAGATCAATGATATGATTATGTATATATGTACAAACAAGAGGTAGATACGCCACCAACGCATAAAACGCGAGATTCCTAATTAGGACCAATGCGAGCGCGCGCACGTTACTAATTAATTAGAGAAAATTCATAAAATGCCTGCCTGTGTATTCCGAATGTGCACAAATCACGACCAAAAGGTAAATAAAGATGCCATATCATACCACAGGTAAGTGTATGTTTTGTTCTTAAATGCAATAAATGTATGTACGGTTACGAAACAAATATTTTGCAGTATGAATATAGCAAGATACGTTATATTCATACTGCTAATCTGCTAATAGTGAGTCGAAAATCAAGCCTCGCGGTCGGCCGGTCGGCAACGACGAATTGAAGGCGATATTGAAAGCGGATCCAACTCAATTTACGGCTGAGCTTTCTGCGGGCTTTGGAGTAAGTGTCAAAACAACATTGAAGCACTTGCGTCAAATGGGATCGATAAAAAAGTTAGATAAGTGGGTGCCACATAAAAATAAGCGACCATCAGCGACACTTACGCGTCGAAGCTTGCGTAGCACTGAATCGGCCTTGACCCGATGGAATTCTGAATCTTCCCATAGGAAGATGATGGTCACTGTCTGGTGGACCAGTGTGGTACATCATAGCTCCTTACCGAATGCCATAACAGTGAGGGCAGATGTCTATTGCCAAGAATTGCAAAATGATGGAGAAGATCGCAATCCAACAACGACGACAGGTCAATCGCTTCTCTTCACGACAGACTTTCATTCAACAACCGAGAGGCAGTACAGAACGCTTCCGCTGACTTCATTGCCTCTCATCCAGCAGACTTCTACAGTAAAGGGATAAACAAACTGCCATCGAAATGGCAATATTGTATATATTGTTTGGGCCAGTTCTTTGATTGGCTTAAATAAAAAATACCCAAAAAAATATATTTTCATACAAATCTCCAACTTGAAAGACCTATTCTTTTCTATGTATGTATAATATGTGTTTTTTTTATTAAAAAAAGTATGTAAGTGTTCTATCAGTAAATCGTCCATTAAACGGCCATTAAACACTGGTCAGATATGTTTGGCGTATCTGTGAACCCGAATAAATGTCAAGGTATTTCCATCGGAAGTAACCGTCGCATGAGCCAGCTCAACCTTGCTTCACTTCCGCCATTTATCTCCGATGGCATGGTTATTCCATTCTATGAAATTGTGAAAGACCTCGGATTATATATTGACACGACTCTTAGTTGGCGAAAACAAGTTGCATGTGTGTGCTAGAAAGTCACAGGCTCGTTGCGAGCCCTCTATAGGCTTAAGAAATTTCTGCGAATAAAAACTAATAAAATGCTTGCCCAGACCCCTATAATCCCTATAATCGACTATGGTGATGTGTGCTACTTTGACCTGAATGCAGATCTGCTCAATAAGCTTGGCCTTCTTCTCAACAATTACATTCGATTCGTTTTCAATTTACGCAAACCCTTTTAACTACCCTATATTCTTTACTTTTTTCTCCCAGTTCTCCTTCCTACTTAACTACTGAACTTCAATATTTAGGTGCAAACCATGATATAAACCTTAGATATTCACGCAACCTACTTCTTCGCTGTCCCGCTCACCGCTCCGACTTCGTACATTCTACTTTCCTGGTACAATCTGTCCTGTCATGGAACGCGCTCCCTCCGAGATCAGGATGGCAAAAACTCGTCAAACTTAAATCTATACCTTAACCTCCTTATCAGATCTACCTAAATATATATATATATATATTATGTGTATAATTATACGTATGTATAAATGTTAGCATCATTATTACTAATTAAAAACTTAAAATTAAAAAAAAATGCTGTCAAATATGTTAAATATTTCATAAAATCACATATATTTTTTTGTGTATCTACCGTTTTTTTAGCTCTGCGTCGCCCTTTTTTTTTTTTTTTTTTTTGTTGAGACGGGGTGGAAAATCCCTTCGGATCTCCTGCTCCTCGGGGACTATGAGCCAGGAGTATGTGGTGATTCCACTAAAAACCACCCCGACGGCCGGCCTCAGGTGTCTTACTCTGGGGAGGACCCGGACCATGTTATTTCAGGTCCACCCCGAATTGACACCATGCCTAATCAGGCCCTATCCCAGGGGAGAACACTTCCCCCCTCAAAAAGCGATATCGCAACCTAGGTTTTGAAACCTCGACCACAAGCATCGATGCGCTCAGACCGACACTTTTAACCACTACGCTATGTTGGCAGATAGCTCTGCGTCGCCCTAAGATCGACTGGGAGAAAATGCCTATGGCATTAGGTCTGCCTTTGTCACATTTGTGCATAAAGTGTAAATAGATAAAAAAAAAAATAGTCAAATGTAGCTAGCTAGTTTTTTTGGCAGTGCGAGCCATGTGGTCTTGCCTTTGCCACATTTTACATGAAAATATTTTTGGTGGGCTTTCATTTCTTTTTGTAACTTGATTATGACAGTATTTTTTAATTTTGTTAATTTATTCTTTCATTTTTGGTGTGCATTTCTTGCACATCAGAGGTGCCTTTTTTCATAGCCTACTCTCTATTTATTATTTTAAACAAGAAGTCCCGATTATGTCATTTTCAAGACTCCAGCATTATTTGCGGCAGTCTTATACAAACTTTCATCCCCTAGTTTAAGGGGTTGGGGAGTAAAAGCTCCAAGTTTTAGACTTTTTTGTTATTTGTGTACTAATAGAAGTACCCTAAGAATTTTGAAGTGAATTTAAGTTCCAATATGTTTCTACCCTTAAAAATATTAAAGCCTTTAACACCACTAATGTTAAAAGAACAACTGACCTATGTGGAAATTCTGTATTAATTACTAAGACAATTATATCTCTTGTGGCTAACCAATTGTCATTTACAATTAATCAATGTGTATTTCCTGATCTTATCAAGTACAGTAAAATTATGCCCTTATTCAAATCTGGCGGTACATCTGACCCAACTAACTTCAGGAATATTTCAGTACTGCCAGTATTTAGATATTTTTTTTGAAAAAATTATGTAATGTAATTACAAAGTTATTTTAAAAATAATAATTTATTACACAATAGATGATTTGGTTTTATAAGGGGTCGATCCACAATTGATGGTAGTGTTGAGCTTATAAAAAATATATTTGATGCCTGGGAGGATTATTATTTTCTAGGTATCTTTTGTTATTTAGCTAAAGCTTTTGATTGTGTTATTCATGAATAGCTGCTCAGGAAAGTACAGCACTATGGTATCAAAATTAAAGCACTGGAACTTCTTGCTTCATATCTAATAGGATTCAGAAAGTTGATATTAACGGTGAGCGATCTCTTAGGGTTCTGTGGTAGAAATGGGCGTTCCACAAGGTTCTATTCCCAGCCCTCTTTTGTTTTTAGTATATATTAACGACTTACCTCAACTTGTCAAAGATAATTACGAGATTTTGTTGTTTTGATGAGACATCACTATTATTTAAACTCCAACGCACACTTACTAATTTCACATACGTAAACAACGCCATTTCGAAAGTGTTTCTTTGGTTCGACGTTAACAATTTGCTTTTAAATGAAAAAAAAATAAAACTCCGTAGTACATTATTTTGATATATCTCGTAAGGTTTAATAAGCGTTTGGAATGTGTACAATAATGCAAGAACCGATCAGAAAAGTGTGTACGTTTTGTTGAAATGTTTTTTTTAGACAAGTTGAACGATAAAAAAATAATTAATGACTTGTAATTCATATATATATATGAATTACAAGTCATTAGGCATTAGGCTGTATATATATGTATATATATATATATATATATATACTGCCAAACTTCCTATTTTTAATACCCAACTATTCCCTACAAATTAGGAGTTATCAAAATATGGGTGTTTAATACGAGTCGTCCGTGTCGGTGACGGATTAAGAATATTGAGTGTCACTACTAAGGAGCCGACTAACGGAGCAAACTACGCAGGAGAACAGTACTACAGAGACAAAACTTGACACAAACCCTATACCAACTCGTCTGGCCAGCGTGGTGTAGTAGGCCAAAACCTTCTTTCTAAGGAGAGGCCTATATCCAGGAGTGGACTATTAAAGGCTGTTGAGGAATACACCTCTCCGGTATCGGTGTGAGCGTATTTACATGTATATATATGCTTTGGGAGAGGAAAAAGGATGATTATTTTTCCTCTTTACTACACTTTTCTTGATAAAAATACACAGAGATTACTATTAAGAGCACAAAAGATTACATTGAAATATTCATAGTTTGAGCTACCCTCTTATTCCATGATGTAGTGGTTTCATTTTCGAGTTATATATATTTAGAAACATTCATATAAATGAATAACAACTCTACAGAAATAAAATAAAAAATGAGACTCAGATTAGATATTACAAATATATTTATTGAAATAAGAAACAAACTAAATGAGGATCATAAGCTGCTCAATAATATTAAATTACATTTTAAACAATTCTGATTATATAAAAATGCCTTTCTCTGGCGCCACTCGAAACAAATAATTTTGACTAGTTCATAGAACGACACACTTAAATAAAAATATTTAGAAATTTATTGAAAAATTGCTTTGTTTCGTTTCATCTAGCACCTTACAAAATATGAGTGGCAGCCGGGTTTACAATATAATCATTAACAGGTAGGTATACAAAATGTTTACATTTGAGAGTGATTATCAAATAACACTGTTCGGAAACACTGATCTCTATGAAGATATTTACAAAGGTAAGCTTATATATACTGTTCTACTTTAAAAACGTTATTTAATTACAATCACGGGGTTAGTAACGGGTACTAAGGTTATTGTTTCATCACGGACACATATCGCGCATAATGTTAGGTAAAATTTCCAACCACAGGCTAAATTATTTTAGTAACGGACAATTTTGAAAAAAATATTTGTTGAGTTTCTTAGTCACATGTATTAGTAATATAGTATTAAGAACTGGATGAATAAAGTTTAGCTTTACGTGTATATAAAACATAAGGAGATATGTTGATTTTTTACCTAACACTGCAGTTTTAGAAAAGTTGTTTTTTACTTATATGGCCGCTTGATATCACGTATTTGGACACGCGTCATAGGTAAAGTAATCAGAGATCGTTTATTAAACAAAAACAAAAAAAAATAACATAAACCATAAACAATTGGGTTGCGCAAGGCATTTGCTTTCTGTTTCAAGCGAAGTGTTCGCCAAGCATTAAAATGGAGTAATATGACTATTTACGAGTGGAAGCATAACTTGGTAATAAAACAATTGGGCAAACGGCATGTCCTTATTGCGTTATAAGAATGTTAACATACGAGTTCTATTTTGTCTATAGCTAATTTTATATTTGTCTATGATACATTTAATATGTAAACCCTAATTTTTCACACTAACACTAGTCTAACGTTTTGTATAAATTCTAGCTACATTACTTTCTACTCCATAATCAAATACTCTACAATTATTGTACATGAAAAACTAACTACTGGGATATATTTTATCTATGACATAATTTAAGTAAAACAATATTTACAAAAATAGCCATTTTCGTCTGTTTTTTAGATCCAACTAACATCTAATTCCATTGTTATCCCAATAAAACACTCAATTTTTAATATTACAAGGAACTAATTATTTATAACAACATAATTACACACCTCACTAAATAAGTATAAATAACAGAGGATGTTTGCAAACTGTGTTTTTAAATAACATGTTGTATGTATAAAATGTACTACAACGGTACAAAATGCTACAAAACTATGCTTATGAAACATACTTATTAAGTATTTGTTTCGTTTCGTAGATAGGAATGGTTTGATGGCAAGTTTTATTCTAGCTATGCTTTAGCTGCTAGCTGCTGACTTACTGACGCAAGTAACGTCGTCGTTGTTGTATTCGTAATAGGTGTGCAGTAATGAATCTATATTTATACAAAAGATAAAATAAATTTTGGTCGTGTATCCACAGAACTTCTTTTGATCTACTAAGATTTCGTTCAGAGTTTCTTGTGGCAACAATATTGTTTTAAATAATTATCGTAATAAACATTTACAGGAACTATTCCGAAGATTTTTATACTTTTAAATTGATTTTTATTATTATTTGTGTTTGTGAATAGTTAGTATAATTTCATAAGCGGTTGAGCGGTTTCTTCGAAGTTCGTAGTTACAGTACAACAAACAAATCATTTAATTTATTTCATTATGTATATCTCTGAATTAATGTAGATGCCATGTATAAGCTGCTTGCGGTATAAAAAAATTGCATTCTTTATATTAGTGGAAGTCTTTACCGATGTCCAAATCTTTGGATTTTGTTGACAAGTTTTACAACATATTTGAACGGTTAGCTCTATTTAGTCTATGTAGTTTGTTTTAGGAATCTGTGAGACCTTGACGCTTTTCTTCTTCTAACATGGCGTCGAGTTCGTCCGTTAAGTTGGCAAGCATGTTTCCTATGTCGTTGAGAACGTCGACCGGTTCTGTGCTTTTCTCATCTTTATGTTCGGGGAGCGAATGCGGTGTGGTAGTCTTCATGTCCGTGGGCCTCGGCGGGAGGTTGGCCAGGCCCATGCTCGCTCGCCCGTAGTCCACGGTGTGCGGGCGTCCGCCGATCTGGCCTCGGTTCTGTTTGATGGTCCCAGCGTTTTCGTTCGCGAAGGGAATGCTGTCTGACTCTGTGCTGGAACTCGACTGCAAAAGAAATGATACATTGAAGATTTAATAAGAGCTGTCAAATATTAATGTCTGTCTCTGAATATCAGAATTAATATTTCTAGAGCGGTAACCCATTCATTTATTCTGATGTCAGTTGTTTTTATTTAATCGACTTCTCAAAGATGTTAAGCATTAATCCTTGCATATCCCTATTATATTGAGTTAACCAAAGTTTAACATCTTCAATTTTTAAATAGCTTGTGTTGTCGAATATAATAAGAGTTTAGTAGTAAACAGAAAGTGACCTTAACGTCACAATTTGTTAGGTTTAAAATTACGGAGACGGTCACTCACCTTAAAACTGGCATCGGAGCCCGTACGAAGTTTATCATCATCGTACCGTCTAGGAGGAGAGGAGGGTGCAGGCGGAGGCGGCAACAGCCCCGTGCTATCGAGCGATACCGACAACGAGTCCGAGCTGGGGTAGGCCGGCAGGCTGAGAGGGAGGCTCTTCTCGGGGTGGATCTCCACCGTGGTCTGGCCGAAGCGCGAGAAGGGCGCGTACTGCGAGCTCTGGCGCTTGGGCGGCTCGGGCGGCGGCTTGCGCGCCACGTGCGGGCTGGCGCCGTACGCCACGCGCTGTAGGCGCGCCGAGTAGGCCAACTCGTCGTACGTGTAGTCGGGCGACTTGTCGCGGTAGGCCGGCGTGGCCGCGATCTTGGCCACGGGCCGAGGCCGCACGAGCCCGCGCGGCCGCGGCAGCGTGCCGCCGCCCTCGTACGCGCCGTCGTTGGTGGGCGTGATGTCGCCGTCGTCGTACGAGCGCCGCCACTGCCCGCCGCCGTAGTAGAATCCGCTCTCGCCCGAGAAGGTCGTGTGCGACGTTCTCTCCGACGGATCCTCGAGGCTCTCCAGCGATTTCCCGCGCGGATGACGTATCTGTTGGCGTTTTTAAATATTTATTGACCCGTTCGCGGCTGATAAATCCAGTGTAGTAATTTATTTACATAGAAATCTTTCAGAAACATTTAAAAAAAGTAGTGTCAATTGACTATTTACAGATTTATTTAACTCGTTGCTCTTACCATGCCGTCTGTTTAAGACTTTGTTTAAAAATGTTGTAGGTAGGTAATATCAAAAATATATTGTATTAATTTCATCAAAACCATGCGCGATTAGTGTTTATTATTATAATTAAGAATATAATAAAAGTACTAGCTACCGTGCAGGAAAGACCGATGTAGCGGTTCTAAATACGGGGGAAGATGCATAAAAATGTATAAAATATATTTACACACATCGAAACATTGCGTTCTCAATAACAATAAAAAATGTGCACATAAAAGCTGGTGCTCGGGTGCGTCGAGAACAAACTGACAAGACCTGTGCCAAAGGAGGTTGTCTCATACCTGAATGGGGACCAAATCAGTGCCACATAGGGGCGGTGGTAGGGCGTCAAAGTTTAGGTCGGGAGGTTTATGGTAACTTCTCGCGTGTCTCTCCCAAGGCTGGTAATGTAGCTCCCTCGGATATAAATCCTTTAGCCGATTATGTCCAAGGTGCGGTTTGTGTTTGGAAAAAGAAAAGAAAACAAAACATTCACATGCTGCTTCGGGCTAGTGGTATGAGGTGGATGCAGCGGATGGACGTGTGGTGCTGACGGATACAACTCTGCGACGTCTACCAGTACTGCTAAAGACATTGTGAGATGTGCCTTCTGGCTAAGGAAATCGTACACTCGTGTCATCTATTGAACGCATCACGTTTATTAAATTAGATACGCGTTATTTTTTTAGTATTAGTAAAATAAAATATATAATATTAGATAAAATATAATTATTAATTAGCGTAAATAATATCGCAGAACTGTTTAATATCCATTCAGCAAATGCGATGGCATGTACGTACACCTAAAGTCTAAGCAAAACGATAAAAACTTTTTTGAACTCATCGGGAAAGTTTTTGACAAGTTTGGGACATTTCATTTTTTTTAAATAAAACTTTCCCATAATGTGACAGCTCTCTGCTTAGCAAACGAAGCTTCCCTATTTCTATGCCAGTAATACAGTACGGAAGAAAAGGTCAAGTATATTGCCTTAACGAAAAATCTTTAATTAGTTAAATAATATGGAAGCTATTAGGTATTGTTAAAATAACGCTCTGTTAGTATAGAAGACCTACTTTCTATTTTAAATATAGCGAAAAGTCTAGTTACATCATTTGGCGGCAAAATCCAAAATGGCTGATGAATGAAATGGGATGAGTCATGAAAATAAAATTAAAACAAAACAAAAGTATTGATTTGAAGTGATGCTTTGAAAATAATCTTTTGATTTTGAAAATATAAATCTAATTTTGCTTTCTATTCCATTGTCTATTCAAAGTTATGTGTTACGAAAGCGGAATTTATTTTTTATTGTTTAAATAAAGACTGCTTCAACGCTGTTTTTGGGTTTAAAACATCCGCCGTCATAAACTTTTTAAAAAGCAGTCTCATAGGAAACTGTCAGATCTATATACTTCTTATTCGCCAAAGTATTCGCTCATTGCCAAATTAAACAATTTTTTTTCAAAGTTATTTTATCTATTGTTTATAAACTAAGCAAACTATAACAGAATTTGTAGGAGACAGAAGTTTATAAATCGGATGTATTTAACACTGTATTCAATGTGGCTGCTCTTTAAAAAACTATCAAGAGTCTAAATTCTAAAACATCACAACAAACACAGTTACAGGGTGATATTATCGTTGGTACAACTGACCTGGCCGGGTTGTATTCTCGTAAAGTCCAGCGAACCCTGGTTACTGATGCTCCTCTTTCCCGCTCTTATGTCCTTCACTCGTTTGATTGCAAGAAGTATTTTCTTTTGATGACCAAGACGGACTATGCCCATGTCTTCTAAATCCTGGAATTGAGTAAACAGGACAACTGCTTTATGACTAAATTTAGGATTACGATAAACGTATGTATGATTTAAGCAATTTAACAATCGGAAATATTTATTATAGAATCGGATTATTGAATGTCACTTGACGATGAAAGGTACAAGTTAATAAGACTCATGAAAAATAATGGTATATAAACATGAAAAAAACAACACAAAAAAAAACAACCAATTTACATGTATGCATTACATAACGCTAGGAAACAATGCAGTATCATTACCACATAGTTATGAGGTACAACAAGAACCGTACCGTAGAAAGTAATGAGTACACATTGCCTTTTCTTTTCTATAACTTTTTTTCTCTATTGTCTCCAGGCTGAGAGGTTGGTGAGGAACACCAATATAACATTCAGTATATAGGGACTTTTTTTTACCTCCGGGGAGTCTATTAGCAAAACCAGAAATATTAACAAAACGAACTAGAATTAAAACTTTTTTATACTATGTTCAGATACTTTTCTTTGATCGGGTCTTTAACAAAAGGGAAAAAAACAGTAAGTAGGTAGTTCTCACCTCCCAGGCCAGTTGCGTAACGTCGTGTACAGTGCGGTACCCTTGAGCTACTAACGCTGGTCCATATTCTTCGAGTCTGAGGAGCCGTAACCATTCTTCTAGAGAACCCTGAAAAAAAAACATATTTCAATATTAGACTTTTATTTTTTTACAGTAGTGTATCAAATTTTATTCGATCAATATTTGTATGGAGATCACAAAAATGTGTTTTTTTCAGGCACAGGATTTATTATGATTTCTAAAATGTTATGCTCCTCAGGAAATAAATTACCTTTTTTTAAGAAAGTTTTCAAAAATATCGTAGTAAAACTGAATGCTTGATAAAATCTAAATACTTTTTTATAAGTATTAGCTATCAATAATAATAGTATTGCCTAATTCAGTTGCGTTAAATCGAGAAGTACAAATGCATCGTAAGTCTGGGTGGATTTTTGAAGTCAAGAATTGGCATTCTTTAAAAACTCAGATAGCCAGAGAGCCAAATACTTCGTCTTCTATAATATTTTACAACAATATTAAATGCCGGTATTCTTAATTTTGTTCATGATCCAAATTATTATAATCACTAGAAGATGTAACCTACCGGTATATAATCAGGAAGGTTATCCGGTACATTTAAGTTAGCCAGTTCGGCTTTTAATCTCTTGCGATGGTTTGGCTTCTTAATACCAACGGCCGTGAGGTCTTCTGGCGTCATTCTGGTCACCGTTGGCAGATCATATCCGGCTTCTATGAACAGTCTCGCGTATTCTTCCATCTGTATTTCTGCTAGGCATGCATGGATTATGTCCGTATCCTGAAAATGTGTATATAGATTTAGTTACTGTTCAGACAATCTCAAAGGAACGTGGTATGAGTCCTACCAATTGATAAAGATTGGTTTTAATGTAGCAAGCAGTTAAATATGTTGGTAGAACATTCGCCCGCAACCCACCGTCTGCCAGTATAAATATTGGTGGAAGGCAGATCAACGCGGTGCAAGTGTATGTACATACAAATGTAAATACTTTGGTTAAATAAAAAAAAAGTAAGTAAGTAGTTTAGGAAATTTTCGATTCATAACTTAAGAACTTGATTAAATATTAAATACCAGGTTCTATGTATTGCTTTGGCCGTGTTATGTAATGTATCGTCAATGTTCTAGATTCTAGATGATACTTTCATGTACTCTACTAACCAACTATCACCTTTGTCCGTTTTTGTACTTCAAGTAAAGCGTGTAAACAAATTTTTAGGACGATCGGTGGAGTAGTTGACGTGAAATCATAACAAACATACAAACCCAACTACAAATAGTTGCAAGTGTGAGTTTGTGGCATTAATAATATTAGTTATAGTTGATCTAGTGAACAATAAGATGTCGCTTTTCATAAAAACAATTTAAATATGCTCATGTGTGCAACTAAACGGTGATATTATATGCCATCAGATGAAGTATGGGAGTTAGGTTGGCCATCCACGAAATACGTCGAGCTGCGGCAAATAGTCCATGAATTCCATACCATAGTAAGATGTTTTTTGACGTAAAAGTGTTGTGTTTTATATACTCACAGGAAGACCCTGAGCGATCATCGCTCGGACTCTGTCAGCGAGGTCGCCGCAGTGGCAAGTGGCATGGTGGTGATGTGGCATACGACCCGACGCCCGCCCGCTGTCAAGTGACGCGGACGAATGCCGCGACCCCGAACCAGCTGAGCCTGATGATGAGCCGGGACTGTCCCGACCAGGACTCTGCAAATGGACCACAAAATATAATAATTTCAGTTGTTCAAATGTTCTAATGTTATGAGAATTATTTAGCACTGAGACTATATAGGACTATATCCTAATTTCTAGGAATATATGAAACTGATGTAAATGTATATTAAGCTAAATGTAAGGTCATATGCCGAAAAGCTGTATTGTAAGTATTTCGACTTCGACTTTTATGTAATAATTGGTTGAAAACTTCAAAAACATTGGTGAGTAGTATGAGCAAATACTGTTTTCATTTGGCATTCAAAAATAATTTATATAAACTTAATTTCACATTTATTTGAATTAAATGAAAGTATTGGGATACATATGTAGATAAATTACACTCTTTTATATTTTCGGGATAATGATTTAAAAGCGTCAGTATACCCTATGTGTAGGTGTTATATGATAACTAATATAAAATATACACCTGTGTCATATCAATCCCCTGATCATCTGAGAGGGCTAGCTGGTGATGGTAGTACACGGCTGCTTTGTGAGTGAGGGGCTGTGCGGGCGGTGGAAAGGTGAATGTGCCGCCACCTGCCGGACTCTTGCCGAGGCTGCCGCTCGCACCCGACACTCCTGATACGCCGGATACCGTGCTGCCATAGTCTGAGTGGTCATCTGTAAAGTGAATAAGTTTGGTTATATTCGTATGTTATTTTATTTTATTATTTTATTACATCGTCGTATATGACGCTGGAAAAGCTTCTTGTGTGTAGTAAGGTTTAGTAAGTAAACCAAATTTCATCATGATGCAAAAAGTACTTCAGAAACTTATAAATAATGTGAGCAATTACTTTCAGTATTGTTAACCGATTCCAAAGGGATTTCAAATAATCATAAATAAAAATAAAAATGATTGAAGTTAGGAAAGGCTTTCTGTCATAAAGTATGGCATAGCGGCGAATGAGCAGATGGGTAAATAGAGGGCCAAGTTCGAGTTTATTTCACTTCTACTCGATCGTCACGGTGACCGTTATATAACATTTTGTAGATTTATCAACATTTCAGAAGCGAGTGTGTAAATGAGAAAACAGTAACAAGTTTTATTGTATGATAATGATATTTCCGTGTGGTTGCGCGTGTGAGTGCGTGTGTATGGGCACGTGTGTGTGTGTGGGTGTGTGTGTGTGTGGTATGTGTGCGAGGGTGTTTAAATTAAAATTTTAGATTCTTCATAAGCATCTTGAACTACATTTATTACTCTAGTCATCATCATCATCATCAACAGCCTTTAATAGTCCACTGCTGGACATAGGCCTCTCCTCAGAAAGGAGGTTACTACGTTTACGTTATTACTCTAGTAGAGTCCGATAAATAATTACCTCTAGTATGTGAAGGCGTATCTGGTGGCTGAGGATACGGCTGTTCTTCGCACGAGGCGTACCCTTGTGAACCGAAGCTGGAGCCGGAATGCCGGTGCTGTGGAGTGCCAAACGCATCACCTGGGACGGCTGGAGGCGGCACGCGTTTTGCGGTCGCCGTTTTACCGGCGCCGCTGCCGCCGCGCGACATCCCGCCCACTAGAAACAGAAAGAATTAACAGATTATAGAATGGAAAGAAAGAAACTTTCACGTTGCAGTCGACCACTATTTTTTTTAATGACGTAAGTGGCAAAAGAACCGGTTGGTCACGTGATAGTAAGTAACTACCGTCGCCTAACCTGCAACTAAGAGCCACGCACTCATGAGTGCGTTGCCGGAATATATTAAATTTAAAATAAGAAAGATTTCTCTAAAATGTCGAAATTCACATTTATGTAGCTAACACATTAAGTGAAACCACCGTCGAAAAAAGTGTCAGTCACTTTGGGAATGTGCGACATTTACTTTATCGCCCTGTATAATGTTGTAACTCGACACGAAATCTCATCACTCAAATAAACGATTCGTCAACCCTCAAAATCTAATATAATTAATACGCTGAGGAGCCCAACGAGCCGTAAATGAAATAAATGAAACCCTTCAAAGAGTTCAAACACTGTTATCATGTTTGAACACGACGTTACCGCAATCTCGTAATGAGGAGTTCCATCGTCTCCTCGGTGACGTAAGCTGATAAGCCGTCGATGAAGGGGAACTTCGGTAATAAGGTAAAAACGTCATCAATCATGTTCGGCACATCTCTGAGATCGGACGGCCCGGATCGGATCAGCCGCCTAATTGCTTGTGGCTAATCGATAACGTTAACTAATGGGCGCGAAAAATCGACATAAAATTAATTGTGATGGTATAGTCCCATGGGGGATAAATACCTAAACGAATTTATGCAACACGGCGTTTTTACAAACAATTTCGTTGGATGTTCAAAACCTTTTGTTTTGGTAAACAATTACAATGCTAATTAATAATCGAAAAAGTGATCATTAGTGTTTTTTTGGTTTAGATTTTTTAAACGGTGAGTTACAACAAAGTAAATTACTCCAGGTTTATAAATTGTATAACATCACAACTAGTTTAATAAAATTATTAGTCTGTTGTCTGTAAGGTAGACGCTCATTTCCTAAGAAATTAAAATAAATGAAGACTCAAGGCAAATAAGGCCCGGTCATAAATTACATTATTTTGGTTTAATAATGTGTATCTATATATTGATCTTATGACCTTTAATATCGGGACGCTTTTTGAATATTAAATGTAAAATCATAAATATATTATACTATTAGTTGAAATCTTTAGTTAGAATAAATATGTAACAGTTTATTTTATTTGCAAACTAAGCAATCAATTCTTTGTCTTCAACAGCGATGTTTATTTCCAACATTATTTCTGTCTTTGATGATACCCGATGTGTGAGAAAGTAAAAATATTATATTTTAGCCACATGAACTCATGAATTCCTATGACTTAGTGTTACATAATTATAATGAAATTTGCTTATTAAGAATGATGGGATATAGTAATAAACTATTCAGTATCTTAAATTGGCCCGCCTAAGCACCACAGGACCAGCCTAAGCGCGAAAAAGCTAAAAAAAAAACAAGTATAACTCATTGTTGCATGTATCAACAATGAATTATACCGGTATTTTAATATAATATTTTTATTATCTCGAAAGCATACCTAATTTAATTTACATTGACGCTCTTGAAATAAAAATACATTTTCAACTAAAAAGATTAAAACACACAACTAAACGCATTTGCGAGGAGTATTAGTTATACCTACACGAATACCGTACGGATATTTTGTAACATAGAGAACGATTCACTAGACATAGTAGAAGTTTAAAATTTTAATTTAATATTTTCAAATAATTAATTATTTTCCTTTTAAAATAATTAATGCAAAATATGATAAAGTTGTGCATCTGAAAGTACCAGGTACCATCACACATTAATTGAAGCAATCTCAGTGAGACACCTGGCCTCTTTAAAGTTTGATGGATTGTTTAAACGTCGTCCAACCAGAACTTATTAAAACCTGAAGTAATATAGGTAGGTAACAGACAAACCAAGTGTGCCATGAACTTGGACGTTAAAATGTTCTGTTGTTTTACAGATAAACTTATAATACTTATTCTATTAACACATCAATGAAGCATTAAGTATATTTAAAAGATAACATAATCCATGTACCATTTTACATCATACAATTTTATAAAAGTAGAGACGCATTACATATTATAGTAAATTCAAGTCTGGCAAATCAGAAAGGAGTCCTTATACCCAAAAAACTTTGTACGATCTAGTTATCACTCGACGCCGTATCAATATGATATGATACATCTTTAATTTCTTAATGAACAGATTCATTTAAGAATAATCTTCTAGTATTAATAGTCCTAACTGAACAAAATTTTTGTGCACACATAAATATTAGTCTATGGTCCATGGTCCATCTGTCCTTTTGTTTTTTTTCTTGACTTGGCGGGGCAGTACCATGTCACCGAATAACCCAGAACTAAAATTATTTCTAGAGTAGTCTTGCATTCTTCGTCTAAGACTCCCTGCCTGTTCACCAGTTAGTAGGTTTACAGGGTGTTCTACGTTTCCTATTGCAGAACATGGAAATTGCCTCTTTAATTGGCCATAGCAGTAATGACTAGTACAGATAATTACAGAATTAAATGCTAAAATATAATGAAGACATGGTAGCCATAAAGTTAATGATAGGTTTATTACTCCATAACCTTATTAGAGAAATGTAGAATTAACATACAAATGTAGGCAACAACAAAAAGTAAATTATCGTCAATAACTTTGTGGTGTCCCAATAAAACCTATTTCCTGAAATATATAACTAATAAGTGCCTAGTATCGTAACGTTTTATGACAATAATAATAGCAATAATACTAAATAATTTTGTTGCTAATTAGCATCAAAGAATAATCATTCACATTTTTAAGTAACATTAGGCAACGCAAATTAGATCTTACGAGGTAAAGTTAAGAGATAAATTGCTTTATAGATTCTTGAAGATAACAATTAGGCAAAACTCTATATATGTGGTTATTGAATATAACGCCATCTAGTAAGTATAAAACTAATGAGACATGCTTATATCTTGGGAATCGGGCAATAATGTTTATGTCTATTGGCATTCTCGAGGCAAGCTGACATTATAATCAATTAAGCGGCGCCAGCATGTTTAGTAGCCGATGTTTAAGTGGTAGCATGCTCACCAATAAAACATAATTTTAAATACCTGATCAGTTTGATAAGCCACGATAATCTCAATTTGAGACATGCAATATAGAGACTAAAACCAAATTTTGATAGGTAATTTCTCACGGGAAATGGTAATTTGACGGCATTGAATGTAGCAATAAAATGGAATAGCTGATCGGATCTAACGTTTAAACCTTTTAATGTGTATCGGTAGTATATAAATTTTAAGACTATGTATTTATGTTTCGTAAAATCGATCACGTTATAATGGGTAGTTTGAAGAAAAGTGAAATATCGTTTCCTTTTGGTAATATAGGCAAACACGACACCGGAAGGCCAATTAAGCATAAGGCGTTATTTAGTACATAAAAGTCCTGCTCACACAAAATACTTGTTTCAATGTGGATAAAACAGGTGGCTTCATTCTATATAAATCAAAATGTTAAGTTGGTTAGTGTACGCTTCAAAAACTCAAAAAGTTCTACACCGACGTACTCAAATTTTGACACGACATCTAAACCGCTTCAAAGCTTGTTTTAATTTATTTTTCGAGTCACTTTTCCCTCATTTCCAACCGATGCAACCACAGCGTGACACAGTGAAGCGTGGCTGGGAACAGCTAGTATTATATTATAATTATGTAAGTTTTTTTTTCAATATAGGGTAAACGTGCAAAAGGGTCATGTGATATTAGATGACCTTTTTGAAGTGAAAACTTCTTTAGGCTCGTTGAGCATTTTTGAACAACAAACAAAAGAATGTATTTTGTGAGATGGGAAAAATTCATTGAACTCGCGACACTTAACGTTACCAATACCTCTGTATACATACTACATATATTGGCCTCGTTTACACGAGAGTTGAGTTTGGGTTGAAATACAGTGATAATATATATAATATAAACATATATTGTGTATATACGTATAACATAAATATATATTAATCTCGGCACTTTTCGAGTTGAAAAAACCGAAAAAAAACAGTTTTTTTTTAATTTTCAAGTTTTGACTTCTGTCGGCACTTCCGGAGTGCCACAGTTTTTTTTACGTATGGACACCTCCTGGGGCCGTCACCCTACCGGGGTTTACGACGAGATGGTGTGTCAGACCGACTAGAACTATACGGTGTGCCACTCTGCGCCTGTAATAGGAGGGATCTAGGAACTACTGGTATTAAGATTTCCGGAGTGATAGTAGGTGACTACCCCTGTCTAAGGACACATGCAACAATGGAGTCACAAGTGCATGATCAGCCTTTGAGTGACCATACCTGAGAGAATTGTTAAACATCGGTTTTCTGTGAGGCCCTGGTATCACTCCGCCCTAGCCTGCCCATACAGGCCGAAGCTAGGCTCTTCCAAAGAAAGAATGCTTTTAATAATACTAGAAACAGTACCAGTATGGTAATTATTGAGTAAATCTGTAGTATTCTTTCATGACAAATATTTGTTATAAATTTATTGCTATTAAATTAATGATGTCATTTTTAAAATTAGGTAGCCAGCCGAAATGGCATTATAACATAAATATATCTTAAATCCAATAAGCCGCCAGGAGCTACGATAGGACGATAAAACAAATAGGTAATATAATAAATCAATTTATTATTTAAATACAAATACTTTAATGAGAGGATGTAAGAAAAAATATTATATACTTATATTAATGCATTGAATATTAATATTCGAATGGCAATAAATCTATTTACGATTGATTAGAGATGTTTTTATGGGGACCAACTAGAGTCGTCAAACGGTAAGATGGTATTACGTACTCCAATCGACTAAAACCTGTTTTTCAGGTCATTCGCCAGGTCACCGTGGCTACTGGTGTACTCTAGGAAGAAAGGCCCTATGAACCTCGGCAGACTTGGCCGTAGACGAAGAAAGAGTAAAAATGATAAAACACTTATTCTTGTAGATTCATTTTGGAAATTCCGATGATACTATTGCTATATGTGTAAAAGAATGAATGTGAGATGAACACGAAAGCGCTCTGGTGTAGTAATGTGTATACTTTAAAAACAGAGTTGAAGACCAAAGAAAATGCAGCTGCGTTGTTAATACACGTTCACTATTTATTATACAAATTATTGTTATTGACGAGTGTCCTTCGTGCATTAGTTGAATTACAGGAGTTTGGGTACATTATATCTGTCGTAAGCAGAAGATATTGTGAAAAATATATACTTCCTTAACTGAGAATTAAATTATAAGAAACACATAAGTAGGTTTTTTACCGTACCGTATTGTTAACAATATATTTTTGGGAATTCTTATTTTCTTTTAGTATAATGTATACAAAACCGAGTAACAAACAAGTTACAATAGTCAATAGTTTCAAATATCTACGTTATACAAGTGTGTGAAAATTAAAGCTCAACTAACACGGTCATTGAAAAGCCATTTCAGTTCCTACAAAAACCATCGTAAAACTAGCCTTGTTTGCGTCAAAGAAATTTACCCGTTCAAGCTATGGTCTGGTTATCAAGCCTTTGACTAATTTACTGCTGAACAATACCGAGTGTGTTAAGTTATTGGTACAAAAGCTTTCACTACGCTAATAGCTTTGAAATTGTTTAGGAAAATTACTTACAGCGTTTAAAATTCCTCGAGCTCATTGAAAGCCGCACCTTCTTTGGAGCACGCACTACCTGTGTTTGCTTAAAAATATTTGAACATCGAAAATTTACATTTAAAAAATTGTAATTGTTCTTAATGTAACATTTATCAAGGTCATAATTTGCTACATTATTTTTTTATTCTTTTGCATTTAAAAAATTAAAATATTTCCACTTAGTTCCTCACTGTCTAGTAAGTACTATTGGTCATTTATTGCAGCAAAAATCGAGACGCGGTTGTCGAAAATATTCATTTTATATAAAGTAATAGAGAAGTAGAAAGTTTACAATTTGCGTCTTGTGAATTATTTATTTTAGTTAGTTTATTTATTTCCATTTCTGCTCCCCGCGAAATCTAACTCTAGTTATTACTATACATTTAAGATATATAGAACCACCATTAACTTTGTTTGCCTATTGAGACTTAAGATAAAAATATATTTCGTCGCCCTTGTTATTTGATCAGTTTGTTTTCTATTAACGATCAATTAAGAGCTCGATAACAAAATATACAGTATCAATAGCTTAATAAAGTTAATGGACGCAAGTATTTTTATTCAGAAAAGAGGTAAACAGAAACAGAACATAAGTTAAATAAGTTACAACAAATATACAGCGCGATAATAGCACACACACATACAAGCCATATGCTTTGCGGCGTTTATTTAATTAACAAGTCATCAAAAAAATCTTTTATCATAAAAAATGGAAATCTCCACAAAATTAATATCACATGGGATCTGCCAACAGGACGAAATTTGTTTGTAATTCATTAAATTTTCTCCGTCGATGATAGCGAAAAACTGTTTTTTTTTTATTAATTACTTGTAGTATGTACATATGTATCTATACCAAATGTATCTATATATATGTATCTATACCAAAAAGACAAAAAAATGCTAATTGTCAAACTGACTAGCCCCTGGACAGCTTTGGAAGTTGCAGGCGTTATCCTTTGTTTAAAAACAAAGCTTTGTAACCCTGGAATGTCTGAAGGTAAACATTAAAATAGTGAGGGAATGCAGCTGCCAACATAAAGTCAACGCCGTATTTGTTATCTTATTTACAAAACCGTTCAACAAATGTGTTGCGGTAGGTGGAAATTCATTTGCAACAGAACATTTGCCAAATATTTGCATTTTATGTTTCTTTTACTTAAATAAAGACATTAAACTTCAAAAAAGTTACTTGAAATTGTAATGATGTTTAATCCTACAACGTTGAAAAGCAGGTCTGTATATTTTTAGTCGCTAGTCAGAGGAACAGATTGGGTCAGATTGGAGATTTTTTGCGTTAGAGATATTTCTTTTTTAAGTTCAGGGGAGTGTTCATGGATTCGATTATTTTCAATAGTTCCATAGCATCATGGATCATATTAAAAAATAATAAGCAATATAGTTTTCTATATATCTTTCCAACCATTGCGGCATCGTCTGCTTTTTTATCTCGTCCTTTTAATTTATCCTCGATTTTCCCGTCTAATTTATTAAAATACCCGTGTTCAAATGTGGGCGTAAGTGTATGTGTGAATCCCATCGCTGGACTAAATATATCTTCATTTTCTTTTATACAAAAGCGCTTAAACCTATTTATAAGTACTAGACTGGACACTAGCAGAAGTACAGGTGAGTTAACATACTCACACAATAGATTTGTTAGTCGAATATGGTTCAGAGTTACATTCATAACAATTGTGCCAACAATGCGGCCTGTTGGCAACTCCTATTCATGATCTTGTTCATAATCGTCCCGCGGCTAACACCCTAATCAGATACTCGAGATGCCTTATATATCTCGATATCCAGTTGTCAAATTTACGAGCACGATTAGAAAGGAATTGAGCTTGTCGTAAATAGTAACACTATGCAAGAGACATAAAGTTTGATTTAAACTTATGTCTTAACGTGACTTATAAGCTAGTGTTATGTTATTTGCGTTTGAGTAACGAGTGGTTCTTAAGTTTACAATTATCAACAGCCTTTAATAGTTCACTGCTGGACATAGACCTCACCTTAGAAAAGAGGTTTTAGCCACGCTGGCCAGATGGGTTGTTATAGGGTTTGTGTCAAGTTTTCCTTCTCTTTGCAGTGCTGTTGTCCTGCGTAGTTTGCTCTCTTAGACGGCTCTTACGACACCATCGGGATGAATAGAAGTGGCGACATTTGCATTCTTAATCCGTCACCATGCGGATTTTTTTTAGTTTGACAACTCCCGCACTAGGAATATATCCTGTGTCGCGGGAGACTTTACAAACATACATGAAACGGACACAAAAAACACCCAGACTCTGTGGATCACACAAAGTGTCGTCGCATGTGGGGATCAAAACCACAATACTCAGCGTAGTAGGACGCGGCGTATCGAACGCTTAAACCATTACGCCGTCAGTGCAGTCTGCATACTTATCTGAAATACTCTAGATATTTCTTTAGATAAGTATACTAGCAACGTGGATCACATAGTAATAGTATCCTAGTTAACATGTCCAGCTAGGCTTAAATGTTGTGTTAGGAATGGGTTTACGTCGGTAGTTCACTAAATGGAGTTTAAACCTGCAACCATTTGATCGTAAGTCAGCATTTGTACCATTAATTTACCGTTCCTTTGACAATAGGAACCGATAATTACCGAGACCTATCATATTATGCAAACCAAACATCTGACTCTCTCATCGATTCTTAAGAATCCACAAGAATCAAACTCTAAAACATGCCTTTCCAACTACTACATTCTTCAGAACATAAAGATCTTCGCAAGCACAGAAGTTGTCTTTTTTCATACATCTCACACACGGCCGTCTGATTACGAACTAGGTAGAACCTGTATTATAGTAATCAGACTGCTGCAAAAAATACCTTATATAATAATAATAACCTCACACATCTCACACTCGGCCGTCTGATCCCAAACTAGGCAGAGCCTGTGCTTTGGCAACCAGACTGCTGATAAACATAATTATATATTTTTAAATAAATACATATTATAGATAAAAAAACACCCAAACACAGAACAAATGACCGTGCTCATAACAGAATATTAGTCCTGGGTGGGAATCGAACCCACGACCTCTGGCTTAGCAGTCAAAGACACTAACCACTGATAATTGTTTCTATGGCTTAAAAACGTATTGAGGAAGGTAACATCTCTTTATTATGAGTCCTTAGTCCCTCTATTACGAACTGTGGAATCCGTATAATAATTAATTATTCTAAGTTGCTTCATTTCCAATAACTATTGAAATAACTAATCGCCTTTATCGCTCTCGCTCGCTCGAGCTATCTGTAATGTCACTGCTTACGAAACAATAAAGCTAAGCGCGGACAGAATTATTGATTTAACTATCGACTATTGTTCAAAAGATTGAGTTTCAAACTCAAAGGATATTCTACGTAATACCGGTTTTTTATACAAGAGATTATAGCTTATTGCTTTATGTACGCCTAGTATCAATAAATTAAATTCTTTACGACTTGTTTATTTTAAATTTGCAATTTTATGTGAAAATACTAACTGATTATTATAAATAAGAGAGTATTAGGTGTCAACGAGAATACGGGTCACTTGATGGTACGTAGCTACCACCACCCACTGGACACATGCAACATAGGTGCGTTGCATTTATTCAATGAAGCCCTAGAATAAAGGAAGGAAGGAAGAATAAATAAATACATGCATATTATAGATAAACTACACACAGAACAAATGATCGTAATTATCAATTATTTGTCCTGGATGGCAATCGAACCTACGACCTCTGGCTTAGCAGTCAGGATCACTAACCTAAGGTTAAGCTGCTCGTTTTTTAAAGTTAGTTATTTTTAATAATATAAAAAGTTTTGTATTACTCAAACCTCTGTGTCTCACTTTCACTTGTTAATATGATATTACATAAAAGCCAACAAACAATCTCCATTTTATTATGATCAATCAAAGAAAGTAATCGTTTGTAATAATGTATTAGACGCATAATTATCTACACACGACGGGTTACGATAGTGTTCTGTTATATTAAAGGCTTCATCGACCGATCAATCATTGGGATTGATTGACTGATTGATATAATTCTGACTTTATCTGGATCTCTGAATGAATTACCTGTGCATCTGTAGAAAAAAAACATTTATATACTCGTACGTTATGCTATCATCTAAAGACATAAAAAAATTCACTACGCACTTCACGAAAGCTATCTTTCGTGAAGTGCGTAGTGAAATAAAGAAACTTTCAACGAAAACTCGAGGAAGGAAATGTGTACATTTATATACCTATGTATGCTTGTACAAAATTGTTAAGAAAACCATGCTATTCATCAAACTTTTTTTATCATTATTTTTGTTTGTTTAAAAAAGACAACTCCCGCATTACGAATATATCCTGTGTCGCGGGGGACTTTACAAACATACGTGAAACGGACACAAAGAACATCCATACTCAGAACATCAATTTGTTGATCACACAAAGTGTCGTCCCATGTGGAGATCAGACCCACAACACTCAGCGTAGTAGACCGCTTAAACCACTACGCCATCCGTGCAGTTATGTACCTAGACTAGAATATTTCCCGCTGTTTTGGTTTGTTTTTCCCCAAATAGTAGTGTTTTAAGCGGTCACCACACCGCTTCCTACATGCCTAGCATGTTGTGCTTTAATCCCTGCATGGAACAATACTTTGTGTGATCAACAAATTGTTGTGGGTGTTCTTTGTGCACGTTTCATGTATGTTTGAAAAGACCCCCGCGACAAAGGAATATATTTCTAATGCGGGAGTTGCCTTTTTCTAAATAAAAAATAATTAAGGTGTGTTGATGTAGGGAGGGTTGGGCTTTCGGGAATTTCACCGTAGAAAGGTCTAAAAATAATGTCTAAAAGTCATTTAAGAAATTATCGTCTTTTATTAGAAGGTAAAAAGTAGATCTAAAATAATAATATAGGCAAAATAATATATTTAAATTTTTTAAAGATGACCTGCATAGGTAACTAGTGAAAGTTATAACGTAATT